AGAGATAATCATCTCCTATCTCTTCTTCCACTTCACCTGCATGCCATACAACTTGAACTCAAAACCTCTCATTTTTAGCAGAAGGAGATAACGGTTGAATTATTTAGACCATTGGCACCAAATTCAACAATTAGATTTTAAAAATGTTTATTAAAAGGTGGTGTTTTTGAAGTTGAAATTTTAATTTTTTAAGAATCAAGACTAATTAATATTTATCGAAACTTAAATACTTTAATAAAAAATAAAATAATATATTTTATAAATTAAATTTGTTGTCTTATCATAGATTTGGTCAAAATAGTAGTTATAGGTTAATTGCCCTACTTAAAAACATATTATTTCATAATAATTGTTAAATTTATTTCTATAATTAACTTACAAATGAAAATTACAAGATTAAAAATCCTATAAATAGGATATGTTACTCTTCTCAAAATTCAGTGAATTCCTCTACATTCTTCCAATTTCTTATATATTACTGTATTTTCTAAATATTCTATAGCAAAGAAAAAGTATTTTAAATTAGGTAACTTTATGAATGGTACAAATTTATAAAATGTTGTTTTAAAGTTGTACCATAATGGGGCAACATACTATATATATAATATGTTTTCTATTGTAGTGGTGGATATACTCTTCACAAAGGTGTGAAACACTTTACATATGCATATTTTACTAATATTTTCTTATTAATGTTTTTAGATAAGTTTATTAATTATTATTGTTATTAATTTTGTAATTGAAACACAACAATAATATAATATAAAGATGACAAAGTATGTTCAAGGAATAGCAATATACACTATTTTTTTTTTAATGATACTTTCTTCTTCTTCTTCTTACAGTGGAGCAGACATAACGCTATTTGATAAAACTTAAAAAATATTTATTTTAAAAGCATTATTCTTTCTTACAAATTTAAATTTTTGTTGAAAGAAAACATTTAAATTAACTTCTTAAAATAGTTTTAAATAAATTTTTAAATAATTATACAATTAAATTTTTTTTAACATTTACTTAAATTTTACTTTAAAGAATAATTTTTAAATTTTTAAATAAAAATTTAAATTTATAATGTGCCCAAAAAAAATTTAAATTTATAAAATATAAATAATATTTTCAAAACAAATATTTTTAAGCTCCCCGCCTCATAATACCAAGAAAGAGACCAAGTCTTTAGTTTTAACTTTTAAGCCGGTCCAAATAATTAATTACTTTGACTATTCTTATCAAAGAGAAATAAACAACGGGACCATCCACTAAAAAAACAAACAACAAGGGGAGTAATGATTTTTACCTAAACCATTAAGACGACCTTGACATATCTTTTATGAGTAATGATTTGTGGAATGATTTTGGGGGACAAAATGAAGGAAGACAAGTGAAGCAGTCATAGCAATAATTATCAATTTAACCCTACTTCTACTTGTCGTACTCCAAAATCGTTCTTTAAAATCATCCTGCATATCATTACTCATCTTTTATATATGAATTCTCATCAATGGAATTTGACACTTGACCCTATACCAATGGCAACTTAATTAAAATTATCCATACGTACATAATTAAATCAAGTTTAGCCACGAAAACATGAACTAATCATCTGTTTTTTTTATTTAATTAATCCTCAAAGTATGTTTATGAACTGACCATTTATTGATGATATAGATT